GTAATAATTTAAAAAAAGAAATAGTAAATTAGTAATTCACCAGGCAAGACCATAAATAAAATGCACAACACCCAATCACTTCCCTGATGATGATAGAACCATGCAATTAGCAATAGCAATTAGGTCAGAGTGTCCCAGATGCAGGCGGTCTAGTGTGATTTGTTCTCTGTTTTCCACTTCTAATCGTGTGTGTGTGTGTGATGTCTCTTCCTCTCATTTAGTTCGGAGCCTACTCTGAGCCAACAGAGGTGACGACTGCAGCAGGCCCACCTGGCCAGTGCGGGGCGCCACTCATCAGTCTCACCAGCAACACCTGTGTAACGATTAACTGGGAGGTGAGACGAACACAGATATAATCCAAACAGTTTCTGTGGGCAAAGGAAGCAAAAGACAGGTGTACAGACAAAGACGAGAAAGAAAGTTTTTATGTTTTCTGCTCTGGACGCTGTTAAAACATTGGTTAAATCAATTCAGTAAATAAGATGTCCAACCTTCGTTTTTCTACTGAAATAAAAACCTGCCACTTTAAACGTAGCTGCTGGGCTGTTGTTGACCAGTAGGCCCAGAAGACTGTGTGGTTCATAGCAATGTAGCTTTATGGCAGTGTGTACCTCATTTCCCTTTGGCCTCTTTTAACATGACATTATATTCCACATTTACTTTTTGTTTGAAAGGCAGCTTTTGGGTTTTTTTCCCATTTTGGATCAGTTTATGACAGCCTTTTCACTCTGAACTGAGTGTGTTTATGTGTGTTACAGAGTCCTGAGGGGTCGGGTACAGACATCTCTGAATATCGTTTGGAGTGGGCGAGGGAAGACGAACCCATGGAGCTCATCTACTGTGGGTCTGCCACGCAGTGTGAGCTGTCGGATCTGATGCCTGCCACAGACTACTGCTACAGACTACAGGTAACATACACCCAAACCTTCCTATGGGCATGAAATACATGCACACTTACTCACATCTGCACAAACTGCATTCATGCATAGGCAAACAGAGATGTATGCACACAAAAAAGGTTTATAAACTATATGAACAGACATGTGCAGACACACAGAAGTAAAAAAAAAAAACGAACACAACACATACATACAAATGTCAGTGAAGGAAAACATCAGAAGCAAGAAACACACCAGCTCTCACAGCCCAGTGAAAGGTTGATGAAACCTGATTCTGTTTGTGCCCTGACTCTTCAGGTACCTAAATACGTGTACTCCATCTCTTTGTATTTGTCTAACAGACACGCTTAGTAGAGCTCTATGACTCTGTATGCTCTGCACCTGTAAATGTGCCTGCTGCTCTGTAGCACATACCTGTTTCATGAGAAAACTTTAGATAGCCAGACACTATCACGAGGATAAGGTGAATCAAGATTTAGTGTTTGCATTTCTTTTTTCTTTTAAATCTTGTTAAAATATATTTGACAGCTGAACATAAATCAGAAACATTACTGAGATGTAATTTTTCATGTCTCTGACCCTCAAAATATGTAGTTTACTGCCAGACAATGTACAAACGTAGTGAGTCAAGACATAAGTGCACAGTTGAAAATTTGTACCCTGTCCTCTTGGATGTGGACTCATGGTAAAGTTGCTGGGCTGTTCATGGAAAATGGAGCTGGTATAATTCTATACTAAAAATAAGTGTGCCTCGTTTTCACGGAAGTATTGTATATTTTTGCCAATTACGATAAATCCGTCACTCCTTAAAGACAGGTTATTTTATTTAGCTTATTACATTTGATAGCCACAAATTTTGCAGGTGTTCAGAATGTCATAAATATATCGCTGGCAGTTTGTCATTGTTTCTTCTCACTGAGTTTGTGGGAGGCAATAAAGTTGACTTCTATATAACAAAAGGTGTTTAATGGAGGATAGTGTCTGTGTGTTACACAGCACAAGGAATAAACTAATGTTCTTTCACAGCTAGTATGAATTCATCTCCCTCTGCTGGTTTTCTTGTGTTCTTCCACTCTCCTTGTCTTTTTCTCCTCTCTGTTTTACCTTTACTTGTTCTTTGGCTGTGTTACTCTTGTTCCTGCCAAATCTTTTCACTTTTTCTCTTTCCTGTTTCACTCTTTTTTTTTTATTTATTTTTTTATTCTTCAATTCAGGCAGTGAATCAGGCTGGCGCTGGTCCTTACAGCGAGCAAGTGAGTTTCAGGACCCCAGCGTCAGTTCCTGACCAGGTGTCATCCCTCACCCTCCTGGAGCTCCCAGCCTCCTCGGAGTCAGGTCACTCCCCGTGTACCTGCCTTTTTCTAAAGTGGGATGAGCCAAACAGCAATGGGGCAGAGATCACCTCTTATATCATCACCCTGGATGACATGAGCATGACTGTGGAATCAGGGACAAGTCACTTTGTTACGGGCCTGCAACCAGACAGCGAATACAGGTACTTACCTAAATTAGTAGGATTTACGAACTAATGTTTACTGGATTTAAAAAAATAAAGCGTGATCTGTGTTGATGATGATCACCTCATCACGGTGTCATTTTGACTCACCACTGTATCGTTTCATGTCATGTTACCACAGACATTAATTGATGAGTGAATTAACGTCCATTAACATCAGATGTCAGAACATATGAAATGTTGTATCTTGTTAAATCAGTGTGAAATAATGGACAAACAAACCTGCATTAGCAGATTTATTTTAAACCCCTTTTACTACCAACATGTTAGCTAACACTTCATTTGCACTCTCTTGGTATTTGTTTGGAGTCATGTTTCTTTGCAGTCTGATGAATGTAAGGTTTGGCGCTGGGCAGGTCACATACAGTATATTTTAACAGCTTTTTCCTGCTGTGGCTGAAAATGACACTACGAGAGCAGCGAGAGGGAACAAGAGCAGTAAAGTGGTGGACCAACGAATGAAAACGGTGATTTAAAAAAAAAAATGCTGGAATGCTTCACAGATCCAAAGAGAGAGTGAGGAGATAATTCTCCATTCTCATTCCCAATATGAAGTTTTAAATTCACTTTAACAACAGTTGTGTTTGAACCTCCATTAATTTGGGGAACCTCAATCGAGATACCCTGACTTTAGCATTGGTAAAGCTCCAAAAACAGTGGATCCTGCATCTCCCATAGTACAATCAATGATATCTTTTCTTTTCTTTTTTTTTTTTAGCAGGACATGCCTGTCTGGTAAACTTGTCCATGCCAGTAAACTCTCATCAGTCACTTAAAAAAAAAAAAAACGCAAGGCAGCACCAACATCTCTCATGTACAGTAGATTTTAAGGCACTAAATACCAAAAGAAGTAGTACCCAGCTAATGGTTAGTTATTTATAAATTACACAATAGAAAAATGAATGATTAATGGCAAAGTTATTGATTGGTGTATGATGTTTGGATGAACAGTGATGCCAGACCTTGTTGTACTGGGGCTGCATAAACAGCTGCTTGGTCTGAATCACCAGCAAATGTTGTTATGTCTCTGTAAATGATTATGTGATTACATGTGAGCATGGTGTGTGTGTGTGCATGTGTGTGTGTGTGTGCATCCATGTGATTTTGTAATTGTGTAATGAGTTTTTTAATCAGGGTTGGGGGCTGTGAAGAGTCAGTGTGACCACAGACCATTGTTTTTATTCTGAGGTTGTTTTTGTCCCAGTGTCACTCTGTTCTCTTGCATAAAGGCTGCCACTGAGCAGAACACTGTGCATGTGTGTGTCTGTGCACGTGTAGGTGTGTGTGCGTACATGAGTGTCTACCTGTGGGAGTGTTTTGTGTGTGCTGGTGACAGTAATTCTGGTTGGTATTTACAGCGGTGGGGTACTTCACATATTATTATTCATTCTTTATTTGTGTATATAGCCTTGGGAAAGGACCACAATAGGTGTTGTTGTTTCTGTCATGAGTGGACTGTGTCTGCTTTAGTGTAGGTTTAAAATGTCTGAGGCCATTATTAATAAACAGTGTTTAGACTTCAGGTGTTTTCCCTCTGTACATGCTGGGGAAAGTGTCCTCAGTGACAGTAGTTGTATGTTGAAAAGGAAAAATCCATTTACATTTTTACTTTTTTGGAAAAATTTTATAAAAAACCTACATAATTTATGTTTAAATGCTTTCAGTGAAATCATCTGTGTCCAGAGACTGCACAGAACCTCTTTAATTTAAAAACAATTCTTTTTTGTCATTAATGTATAATTTTTCCCCAAATACAAGGTTTCACAGCCATCCTTGCACATCTTCACTTAATGCTGTCACAGTTTAATAATAGTGAACTTTCTTGGGCTTTGCCGGAATGGGCCCCATGAATCTAGGCCCAACTACCGGATGCTTGCCGGTGAGACTCCCTCCCACATCTGGCTCCCCAGTTTCCCTTATCAGGGCAAGAGGGCACCACAGAACAGTCCCAGCTATCAGGATCACCAGATTCTCAGAGTATCGCAAGGGGCTTGTTTCCTAGGTGAGGGTAAAATGGAGGACGAGACTAACAGCCAGGGTGGTTCAGTGTCAGCAGTAATACAAGTGTTGGACCAGAGTGTTTTGGTGAAGAGGGAGCTGAGCTGGAAGGTAAAGCTTTCAATTTACTAGTCAATCTATGTTTCAGCCTTCACCTATGGTCACAAGCTTTAGGTAGTGACCAAAAGAATGGGATTGTGAATACAGGGAGCCATTAGTTTCCTCTGTAGGGTGGCTGGACTCGGTTCAGACATCTAGAAGGAGCTTGAAGTAGAGCTGCTGTTTCTTTGGGTCAAAAGGAGCCAATTGAGGTTGTTTGGGTATCTGATTAGGATGCTTCCTGGGTGCCTTCCACTGAACCTTTCCTGAGCCCGTCTAACTATTAGGAGGCCCTGGGGAAGAGCCAGAATTTGCTGGAGGGATTATATATCTCATTTATGTAGCCTGGGAACACTTCAGGATCCTCTAGGGGAAGCTGGAAAACTTTGCAGGGAAGGAGGACATGTGGACCACCCTACTAAACCTGCTACCCTCGTAACCTGACCACAGATAAGTGGTCGAGAATGGATGGATGGATGGACATCGAATTGTAATATATGAGAACAGTAATGGAACAATGCATCACAGAGGCATCCAGGGTCAAAGCTAATACATTTGGTCAGCCTCTTCACTGAAAATGATTCCACCATTAGACAAATAGGTCTACAAAAACACACAGCACAAGCTTGTACATTTTCCGGTGGTTTTATGTCCACGTACTTTTGCTCATGGACTTAAAATCTACACACATTCTCACTCAAATCCAGATATTGGTATACATGTTGCATAGCTGACCTTTTCTGAGACATTCCTCCACGAATATTAATTAGCATCCATTCAATAAAGGATAACCCTACATACTGCAACAGTCTGAAACAAACAAATCATAATCTCATTCTCCCCGTCTTCGTGGTTTACAGTGTACGGATCCAGGCGGTGAATGGCATTGGCGCCGGTCCCATGAGCCCACATCTGCTGGCGTGGACACGCCCCCTCCCTCCTGCACCGCCTCCTCTCGAATGCTCAGCAGCCGGCCCTCAGAGCCTGAAGCTGAAGTGGGGTGAAAACGCCAGCCACACAAGAGCCCTGCTCGCTGATGACGTGGTCTACACACTACAGATGGAGGATAAGAACCACAGGTGAAGCGCACACACCAGTCTATAGCGCTCTAACATAATTGTTTACCTCCTGGTATAGAGTGAGAAGGGATCCAGCTTACTATTGTCTGGACCACATGCACACATTACAGATGAAATGTCACTCAGTTTTTAATTACAGTTTTTCTTTGAACAATTCATTTAGACAGCAAGATTTTGTAACACTATCACAATTCATTTGTATTGTTATGATACTATTCCACTAAAGGTCAGTAAATGCTGGTATTGAATTATTAAATTAAGGGCCAGACCCAGCTGACATTGTTTATTATCAACTGAATTAAAAGGCTTTCAGATAGGATGTGGTACATGCTGCGCTCATCACGGGGTTTGGGCGCAGCACAGTGGAGGAGGGCGTATGCACAAATTGCGCACATGTTGGGCACCGGTTGCTAGGTGACCAAAAGGCTTTCCAGGGAGTAGTTAACAGATATTTAGTTTTTCGAGCAGTGGACTTGAATGCATGATGTATCTTTCTACATGTCAGCGAAAAGCTCTGGCTTTAGTTGTATTGGTGAAGAGGAGGAGGAGGAGGAGACGAGCTGCAGCAGAGAAGAAGAGGGTGTGGGTCCGCCAAAATCAGCTTCTCCTCCATTTTCTTTGTGGTCTGTCAGGTTCTCTGCATCTGGACACTTTGAAGTTGAACTTCTCTTAACTTCAGCACAGCACCCGGCACGTCCTATCTGAAAGCACCTTTAGCAACAGTCAGCCCTATTTCAATGAGCATTGGACATAAATTAAAGAACCAGTAACTGCACTGTATGTTTTTCTTTTTAACATGAATATTAATTATTCTAAATGTTTTCTTGGGATGCCTTTGAACAAAAGCTCTGTCATATTTCTGCAGTGGTAAGATTAGTGGATGGTTTAATTTTAGAACCGCTGCTATAAAAGGGGATTGAAACTGTGATGTGCTGCTTAGAGGATGTTCTTTGCAACACTTTTCTCAGACTCCTCAACACACAGCTAGTCAATACAGAAAATCAGGACCCAGAAGGTCAATACTACACACACCACAGTCACACTCACACAAGCACGAGAAGCACAAACATAATCAGCTTGAAAGAAGGTGAGGGAGCATTTGTGCATGGTTGCTTAGTTAGAGGAGTGTGTGTAGATCTTTGTGCTTCTGGGTTTTGTGTGTGAGCATGCAATAACCAGATGTACCAGGTAGTAGTCACGTTGAGAGCATCTAGAGCTGGCTGGGCTATAGCCTCTAACAATCAACCCTCCGTTTATCCTACTGGTCGGACAAAAGAAACCAAGAAAGAAATGGGGAAAGAGAAAATTAGCAGACTGAGGAGGAAGGGGAATGGGCAGAGTGTGACCAGGAAGTTAAAACACATAATTGACAAGAGCGCAAGAGGAGGGCATTTTTACTAATGTAAGAGAATCTTTAATGCATCAAAGCAAAAACTGTGGGAGTGAGGGAGAGGTGAATAAAAAGGTAGGGAAACTGATTAGCAGTGAAGAGCCACTTGTGTCTGCCCACCTGTCAGATTTCCTCGCTCCCTCCCTCCATCCAGTCTTCTACCGTTTTAGCCGACCAGCTACCAGTGTTTGGATTACGACTTGGCTGGCATCAAGTTGGCACCCAGGTACTTTGGCACCCTTGATATGGGTCAGAGTGCAGAAGGCAACAGATGGGCTCTATCTGGTCTCCTGAACTGCTAACCTCTGGAACACACGGACACATACAAACACAAAGGAATGTGCTTGGTGCAGACATGATCCCTGCCAGCCTAATGAAAGCAGCTTTCACAATTTGGAAAGTTTTATTTACCCCCTTTTAATTGGTACAGTGATTAGTATGCATGCTGGGCTGTGTGTATTTGTGTTGGTGTGACCATTTCTATATGTTTTCAGGCACCAGATCTAGTTTGGATGGTAGTTTGGTATATAAACATCCTGGCATTTCTTTCAAACTTCTTATTGAGCAAGTGCTGCAACCTGATGTAAACTGGATTGGATAAAATATCTGAGATTTAAAACTACATGAGTGACTTTTGTTTCTGAATTCAGAAGAAAAGGGGCCTGAGTGGCTTTTTATGCCTTTAAATTGGCCATGTTTTTGTTATTCGTTCTTTATTTCTTCTTTCTTTTCTACTTGTCCCTTCCTGCACTCTCATAGCCAACTTTTAGAAGTGGTCGCTTCAAGTGGAAGTGAAGCAGGGATGTTGTTTTTCCACGTTCCCGCACTTTCTTTCCTCACTAACCAGTTTCTTTATAGCACTGTACCATTTCACTGTGTCACGGTGTGTGATTTCTCTTCATTTTATCTGTGCCACACTATGCATGTGAAGGAAACAGTTGAGGTAAAATGTAAGTATTTTTAAAATTGAAATCCTCTTTGTTACATTTTTATTCATATGGGGTGGGAAGTAGTTCAGGAATAGTACTAAGGAAATATTTGTTTTTACAGACATTTTCCAGTTCATAGTTGATGTTCCAAGTGTTTATGGTTAATGTACATTAAGATTATGGTGCATGTTTCATGGAAGCGTTCAAGGTCGATAGCTGTTATTTCATTCAGCTGGTAATACAGATACAAATGGCATCATTTTCCCACAGCCCAAATACACAAACACGATTTCACTCTGTCCTCTCCTACTCCAGCTTCCCTGACTCATTCAACCTAATTACCTTTGCTTACGATTCATTACTTGCAGCTGCTGGTGGTTGCGGCAGGACATGTAGGTGTATTAGTGGCTGCATTAGCGGTGCATCTCTTTTTGTTGAACTGTGTTTGTGTGTACGCCAAAGGTTGTCACCAGATGAACGGATTGAGCTCCTTTACAGGATAACACACACACATACTCCTCCACACTCTGCCTTGGGCGTTTTCATTACACTCTTTTAGAATAAATTTGCAGGATTTTCTGTTATTGGTGAAATGCTAAATCACTCATCTTTAGGTGCTGAGGGAAACTGGAGAGGCATTTAGAAAAGTATTAAATCCTGAAATTATTTAGCATAAACAAACATATTGAATAGCTAGTCGCACTTTGTCAGTAAATTCCATCAGTGCCATTTTTAACCAAATCACATAAGTGTTTTTTGACTTTGGGTGCCCCTGAGCCTGCAACTATCTGTTTATGTTTATGGCCAGTCTAAAATAATTCATATTTATTCATCTCATTTTATTACTAGAAAGGTGACTTCACCTCTGGAGAAATGGGTTTTTTTTTTTTTTTTTGTTTCCATAAATTTTCTCCTTACCACATCTGTCCTCCCCACACTCACCCTGCAGCGTCTCTTTGTGGATGTATTAGATGATAAAGAAAGCTGGTTTATTAGGTTCACAATATTGAATCCCCTTTCTTTACTTTCCTTCCTTCTCTGGCTGATTTTTTTCATTCTTATCTACCTGTATGCAGAGTCGCTGCTTGTCTTCTGTTCTCCCTTGCGCATGGCCTTTAAATGCTGGCTGACTTTGATTTTTCTCATTTCACTTTCTCCTCATCCGTATTACCCTAAATGCCTGTGTTGGGAGCATAAGAGTGTCATAGCAACACAGTCAGTGCAGTGCAAGGAAGGCTTCAACCTTCTGACACAGTGGGGTTTTAATGATTGCAGATGGAAGAAAGCTTGGGTGTAGTTGCTTCAAAAACATTTTCCCTTTATTTTTTGTACAGTTGACTGTATACATTAAATTTTTAATGGCTAAAACCAACCACTTTATTAAAGGCCTTTTCCACTTCAAATTGTGTTCAGGTGCATCTGATTTGCTATAATTCTGCCTCAGATGTGTCTTGATCATGATTACAGTCCACTTAAACTGATTTCCCACAATTCACACAGCACATGAGGACAAAAGCTAAGTCATGACGTCCGAGGAACTCTCTGTAGACCTCTGTGATAAAAGAGTGCTGAGCCATAAATCAGGACATTGAACCATTTGTAGTGTTTTGAGTCTTCCCAGGTAGCGATGAGACAGTACCGTTATCGGATCTGTTTCTTTTTTACTAATTATCTTATTGATTGATGATCAATTTTCTGTGTGGACAAAGGGAGACCTACACAGGTTTTCAGCATTACCACAGATGTTTTGATATCTCTATAGGTCTGATCACAGTGTACAATGTCTGCTTGATAACATTTGATATTTGAGGAGAACAAAATGATTTCTTCTTTAGAGATTTGCTGAAACTGTATGTGTTCTGTTGTGTTGTCCCAAGACAACAGTCAGTCGCTTTCTGTTCTTACATGAAAGCTTTTAAGCTTCCACCTGGTTTGGAAAATGAAAATGCAAGAATAGAGATGCTGAATAATGTCGTGCCAAAATAAATATTACCTCTTCTGTGTGAGCTGCTTGATCACGGGTGCTTGGAAATGGCGTTTTAAGATGTCTGCATGTGTTACAGGCATCACAGCATAACAATAACATAACAGACAAACAGGGAAGCAAGTCATATTCTGATTCATGATATCAGTGAGAATAATTCTTATATTTGCATTCCTAATACAGCAAACATGGAGAACAATAACATTGTCTGTCTTAAACCTCTTTCTCTGTCCTCCTCTGCTCCTTTTGTGATGAAGTGGTTGACCGTTTGGCACCAAGAAAGTAGTTCCATCTCATTAATTGTGGCCTGGTCAGTTTATATATGTGTTTGTGTGTGTTAATAATCTCTGTTCTGATGGGTTAACTGTTTTGAAACCACTCAGCTCTGTCCAAATGAGAAGAGGTCATAACTCATGATGATGATTTTTCAGCCATGCACCTGTTAGCTGAGAGAGTAATCAAGTGGAAACTTAGATACATGTAGCATTTACATTTCATGCAGCCACTTATCAAATTCTGCCAGCACCGGGTCTCTGTGTGTTTCAACTGTAAGACCCAGCACTGAGGTCAAGGATCAACAATTTCACAAATCAGCCAGAGAACCACAACACTTCTCCCTAGTGCAGCCACATAAAGAGCTCATTTGGAGTTATAGTCTTCCACTAAACCATGACCTCTCACATCTCTCCTTTCTCTCCATCATCATCTCCACTCTTGTAATTACCAGTCACCTTCTTTTATTTCTTGTTTCCTTCATCACCACCTTCTCTCTTCTCACTAACCATGTCACCTTTGTCTTTCTCTCTTCTCCCCCTTTTCCATACCTTACTTCCTTGCTCTGACTTTTGCTTTAATGTGCTGAAAGCTGAAAGTGAAAATAAATAACCCCTGCCAAACCCCCATTTCCTCCCTCATTATCTCAGTCCATCAGTCTGTCCATCTAGCCAGGCAGAAACATCTGCTGCTCATTTTCGTCGTATTTGTGACTATGTCCTGTCACTATTTGTTCAGTGTGTCCATAAATCACTACTGTCTTTGCTAAGAAGCACTCTTCTCTCTTCCCAATAACTTTCACTTTTCAAGGTCTCCACTACTTATTTCTCAAGGTAACACATGCTAAGCCTATGATGACAAAACAAAGATGATTTAATAAGCACTGCAGTGATCAAACAGAGGCCAGCATATAAAAAAAAGGATAAAAACAGGCCAGCAAGGTTATGTACCCCTATGAACTATTAATAAGCTATTACTAGTAATGTCTTTCATGATGAGTCACTGAAATACAAGGAAAAACACATCAGTCTGAATCAGTTCCTAAATCTACTTCAGTGATTAATGCCATGTATCCTGCCTCGTTTTTCCATCCTCTTGAGAGTTTTTCTGTCACCTACGTCTCCCTCTTCTAATCTATTGTGAGCTCATTACACATTTCTCTCAGCGCTGTCTCACTTTTTACCTTCTCCTTATTCTTCCTGTCCAGTGTCAGTCCCACCCTCCTTCTCATCTGACCCTTATTCTTCTTTTCTTTTTAGATTTGTGACACATTGTCTCTCTTTTCCTCTTCCATATGTTCTCTGTGCAGGTTTGTGACGATCTACCGCGGCCCCAGCCACACCTATAAGGTTCAGCGATTGACCGAGTCCAGCAGCTACAGTTTTAGAATACAGGCCATCAAGGATGCTGGGGAGGGTCCATTCTCTGACACACACACTTTCTGCACAACCAAGTCTGTACCCCCTGCCCTCAAAGGTAAACAGACACAGGCAAAGTGTATTTTTTGTTGCATGATGAAATTGGACGAGAGGCGGGGTCCAGCTCCCACAGGGCTGACATGTAGACAAACAACCAGACTTGTGTGCTGCGTCTGTAGCTGTGGTTGATTATTGCCATTTTGCAGTCTTCCCTGTAAACCAAACTCATTTTCTAAGTTTGTGTAATTAATATCGTGCTTTGATGCCATTTTTTTCCAACAGCTCCCAGAGTGCACCAGCTGGAGGGCAACATGTGTGAGATCACATGGGAGACTATCCCACCAATGAGAGGGGATCCTGTGAGCTACGTGCTTCAGGTGCTGGTAGGACGCGAGACAGAGTACAAACAGGTTTGTCTCGCATACACAGGTCATATGAGGGTAGAGCTCCTGTCTCTCTGGTCCAGAGCCCTGCTCTGGTTATTTGGTTCATCCATGTTTTTATGGAAGTTTGAGTAATTACTGAGTGGATATTTTCTAATCTCACATAGCAGCAGGAAAATGTAGTTTCCATTGATGGGGGAGGTTTTATATTGCACTCAACTGCCCACACAACAAGAAAGAAGAATAAAATGCACACACCTAGACCGAATGTTCATGGAACAAAGAGACACACAAACACAGACATTCCCACTCTCACACATACCATGTCTTCCCTGGGCTGAGTGCTACAGCATTTTGAATTCAAAGGTAATCTGCAGTATTAATAGTATCGAAGCATTTACAATGCAGAAACAAGCTGGGAAACGTTAGCTGCACATAAATATGGGAAATACAGAACTGCATAGCACTTGGAGGGATGAGCAGACTAGTCACCTGTCCAGATGTTCTGACTGGGATCACACCCATATCTGTCAACCCAAACCAGCTTCATTCTCTAAAGGCCTCAGTCGTTATGATATACTGTATAGTCTGAAGCTCCAAGTCTCCTGGACATAACTTGCACCTTGAGCCCAGAACAGTGGGTACACTAGAGATGAGTTAATGTCATGGGGTAGCATATTACAAGATTCAGTTTGTTTTCAGGTGCATGTGCTTGTTAGGGTTCAGGTGTAATCTCGCTCAGGTCTCCCAACACCTAACACACAGAGGCATTTTCTTATTTGATTGCCTGAGTAAATATAGGAATTAATTTTGAAATAATAGGAATATGTAGAAAGGGAGAAGTTAACAGAACACAAACTTTTTTTTTAACCCTTAATTTTTACTCCTTATACTCTAACTAGCAGGACTCAGGTAGGTGCCTGCCAAAAGCATGTTTCATTAGGACACGATTCACTGAAGTTGTTCAAACAGCAGGGGCTGATCCTCTCACCCTAGGTTAGTGATGAGGCTTTGTAAATCCTCAAAATGTGACCCAAGTCACTTCCCTTCGTAAATGGGCACCTGCTGAGAACTTCACAATACACACATTATGGGTCATATGCTGTGACCAAAGCAAGCTTGAAGATGTCCAATCCAAGAAACCGCAACTAATTTCGCTCATGAGCACACTGTCGGTAAAATCATTGGGTATTGTGTGAAGCCGAACGAAAACGTGCATACTCTTAAGTGGTCTTATAAAACGCGATAGCAAAACTTTTGTTTTTTCTTTTATCCCCCTGCAGGTTTATAAGGGGGAAGAGGGTGTGTTCCAAATCTCTGCTCTCCAGGGCAACACAGACTATCGTTTCCGCGTGGGCGCCTGCCGCCGTTGCCAGGATACGTGCCAGGAACTTTGCGGACCACTGAGCCCCTCCTCCTTGTTCACACTGCGTCGCCAGGAGACGGCATCATCGGGAGAGCTGTGCGCCATGGAAACAGGCAAAGGGGCGGGCCTAATCTCAAGCGATGAGCGCTTCGCAGCACTGATTGTGTGCATGTTTGCGGGCTTCTCCATCCTCATGGCCTGTTTGCTACAGTACTTCTTCATGAAGTGAGGGAATTTTAACTATAGGATAGAAACAGAAAGTAAAATCACAAAAACTTTAAACGCACGTCTATGAAAGAGCGAATGAAATCAAAACAAACACTTGATCTACTTTTAAGGCTTTTTTTTTTTTTGAAGTATTGGTTCAGGTGTTCCTCACCTTGTTCCTGTTGGCTTCTACCTTCACTTAGTTTGGCCTCTTTTCTCTCTACGTCTCTGTTGTCTTTGTATCATCGTCTGTCTCACTTGTTAAAGATTTCTGTCGAGGGAAGCTGGACCTCGGTTGGGAAAGAAAACTGATAATCAAGCCTTAAGATAGCTGTGAGCAAAGCAGTTGCTCTTCAGACTGACTTGCATGTTTTTTAATTTGTATCTTTTTTTTTTTAACATATTCGATAAGAAAACGTGTATATTTCTTGATGGTCATTGACTTTTTTTGTTTTTCAGTGTTTAATTTTTTTTTTTCTTTTGTGTTATGGTGCAGACTTTATCCATTCAGCCATATTCCAACGTAGGCCTTAAAAGCTTTAGCCGTTCATACCTTATTATTCAGTTTGTTACTCCTCAACAGGTTGTCGGTCAGTTCATGCTGTCTGCGCCTGCTCTCACATACAGACTGACAAAGACACACACATACACGTACAGAATTTTTGTACATATACATGCACACTCTTACAGTTACGCACGTGCAATGACAATGAAAAACACATTTCATCCTAAGAAGTCTATCGCATATCTTCTCAGCTTTTAACATTCAATCCCTCACTCATTCATTTACCAAAGTGATGCAATCTGTGTGGTGTAAGATGCTGCTATCCTGTGATTTTACTATATCTAAGAAAGAACGGGAAACCAGTTCAAATATATATGATGCTATAGAAGTGATGTAATATAAGTGATGGCGATGTAAAGTCTGAAATACAGTGTGAGCGATTCAACTCTAGGTGCTCACAAAAGCGGCTCTGAGATCAGTTCATTAGCTCCTGGTTGAAGGAACCTTTAAACACTGGTCTTGGATCAGAGTATAAACTGGCTTTAGCATTCAGGAAGCCAGGCCTGGATCATGATTTGGTGCAACTTACTGGGAAAGGTCTGGGTTGAGCATGCAAGAGGCCCCTCAGCCAGTCCTACCGTATTCTACCATCTCAAACACCATTGCTCCAGTCTGTTTATCTGTAGCTGTAGCAGCATTATGTCCTTAGTGTCACAAAAACAGAAGTGCTAACAGCCTGCCAGCTAGCCACCCTTCTCAGAGCTGTGTGTGTGTTTACCAGGAAAGCCATTAGGAGTTGGCTTGGGCTTTACCCCCTTGAAATTTAGCCATTTGCCAGCCAGAGCAGTGCTGAAGCTGTAGTTTCTCCTCCCAGCTAATCTGTGAATCGATACATTTGAAGACTCTTCTCCTCTTTTCTCTTCTCCTGCCCATAATTACCTTTAATTACCTTTTTGCTCTGGCTGCTTCTCTCTTGTTTTGGATCCACCCCCCACCCCCACCCCGTTTAAAAGGTGCTTTATTGACATGTAATCAGAGCAGTAGCAAATCTGTGGTCTCTCCTCAGATGGACATGTTTTTTGGGGACATGAACTAATGTTCACTAACCAAACAAGCCTTTGACAGAACACAGTTCAGCAGAACAGGGCATTCTGACACATGTAACATGAGGCTGACCTCCCCCCTTGCCTCCTGAACCCCTTTTTACCCCCAACCCGGAAAACAAAGCCAAGGTACAGCCTGATGATCCATAGAGGTCACCCTGACCTACACAATTAATGTGTGACATGTCCTCTTTTGTCAGGTGGGGTGTGAGAGAGGAGGGATTGGGGGTGGGGGGGATGATTAGCTCTGATTGGCAGCCTGTAACGTACCTCAGGGACAAGGCCTTACAGAGGGGAGATCTGATCCTGTCATCCCAAATGCTGTCATCATCATAGTGTCCTCTCCCCCATTTCCTCTCTGTCTTCTTCCTTCCTTTTCTTTCATTTTTGATGCTGTATCTTGTCCTCTGTTTATGCTGTGCCTTGCTCCTGTATGTGTCAGTAAGCAAAGTGGTTTACTAGCTCAAGATACCTTTGCCAAAGTTGATGAGAAAGTTAGAGTTCTTTTCTAGGTTTTATTTATACTATATATTTGCATACAGTACTTTACATGCCAGTTACAGTGCAATCATCATTTATTTATTGTTTAAAGATTAAGAGTCAAGTGTAGTTATATACTAATTTTTTCCTTGTAGCATGTTTTCTTCCATTTTTTTTAAATGGATGTATGTTAGATTGTATGATTAAGGCCAGCATTCCATATCTCAGTAACCCTTTAAGTATTTCTCTCGCAGCTGTTGGGAACCTGTAGCTCATCTGTCCATACAATTATTGCCTTTTCAATCATGTAACCAAATGGCTATGTACTTTGTTTTTCATCTCCGGTTTCGGCCACGCACAGCCAAGCAGCTTTTGTAATGCTTTGAGAGACATGTAGCCTTATGGTCAGTTCAAGTTATTTGTATCGGGATAAATGTTGCTGCCTTTGGCTTTTTTCCTATTAGTGTTATAATGAAGCTTCTGATATATTTTTACTGTTTTATTGCCAAAGCGCAGGTGTCTTGTGTCCACTAGATGTTGCGTTTTCGAAGGGATTCAATACAGCATTACAGTTTTACTATTAATATATTTCAAAACGAAAAAAAAAAAACATTGATGTGATCTGTGATTATGCTTCTTTACATATTATCTTTTATTATTTTGTTTTGTAAAGCAAAATGTGCCATGTTGAAATGTGTAGCCCCCGTTTGGAGGAGAGTTTTTAACACAACCTGATTTCACACTGAAAGGGTCTAAAAGGAAAAAAAAAAAGTGGCAAAAACAATCACAATGTTTTTAGGCAGATGACGACAATAACATTGAGGATTCCTTGTTCAGGCTAGTGCTGGTATAGCGGTAGTGAGTATTTTGTGTCCAGTATTTTAAGATTAAGAGATGATATACAGAGATATCTATAGAGCTATAGAATGAGATGGTAAATGCATTATGACTAACGGAGTTGAAGCACTTTTTTTATGCCCAGCAATAGTTGTGATGAGGTTAATATAAGCGAGAGGAGACACACAACTGTCCCTCTGTTTCAAACACTACTGCCGACGCAGTCTGTTACATTCATTAGCATAATTCTGCCATTGGCATCACTGTGACGTTGGCATTACTGGAGCATGGTTGTGTGCTTCTCGACCGGCGCCCTGCTCCCTGCAGAAAGCAAACTACAGCAGCGAAGGAAGTATCGTTCACGGGGGCTATGGTGCCTTTTCTCACACGTGCTCATGGTGCGTTTACCTGGCCTGTTGCATTGTAGTCGACAGGTGATGTGTGAGGTGTCCTATCCTTGTACCCCTGATGTTTTGTATTGCCCACCCACAGCCCCCTTTTCACACCTTAATCCCCGATGGGAGAGGTGAGGTTGAATTAGTGTTTGGCCAAACGCAGGCCAGTTATGTTAGTATTGTAAAGTCTGGGGTTAATGAAATGTTAACTGAAAGGCTCTGTATTTGTGGGCAGGGTACTCCCTTTATGTGCTTTTTTTTGTTTTCCCCCTTTGTTTCCTTCAAATGATCATGTTATAGCGCCAACCGTACAGGTCCTGCACATTTGGTGGGTATATTAAGAGTGAGAGACAGTTTTTGCCCAGCATCCCCACGTCTGTGCCTTCTGATCAGTTTTTCTTTTTTTTTCCTGATCATGTTATGTGAGATTTTGACTGAGATTGGCGATTTCACAAACGTACAAAGACTCACAGGTATTCAACTATTTTTTAAGTGAGACAAAAAGAGAAACATATTTTTACCTCACCGTTTTAAAACCAACATTCCGATGAAAAATAAAAGAAATTCATACATTTCTTCTTGTATTGTAAATGTTTGACAATTTCATATGCATTATATAAAAGAAACTGCCATATCAACTTTAATGTATAGATTTTTGCAAATACCATCCTATGTATGTAAGACATAACTGTATCTGTAGCGTATATATAATATATTTATGCCCAATAAATGTTTTAATTTTTTCTGACTTTGAGTGCAACCGTTTGTTTTATTGTGTGTGTGTCATTATTCATTAGCACTTTTCTACAGTGGGCAAACTAAACAGTATAGTCAATGCAAAACATTTTCCTCATGTACTGATTTTTATCTTCAAGATTTAATAACAGAATGATCACTCTGCTGCAAGTTGAACAATATATATACTGTATCTTTTAGCCACACAAGGCTCCAAGGATGTAAACTGAGTGTGTTTGTGTGAGGGTACATCAGTGCCAGATTTACTGACCTTAATAGTGTTTAGCCAGATATCTGAGTAGCTGTAATCTCCTGCTATGCCTCAGGGTAACCAGGCAGAGACTGCTGCACTGCATGCTCAGTTGTCCTCCCCCTACAGCGACTCGGGGTCCACAGGGGAAGTGTTACCTTTGGTCATTTTGTAGTGCTTATTGTGGCATGGAAATGGCGAGAGCAAAACAAAAACCCAGTATCTCACTCTTATCTTTTTTTTTAATTTAAGCTTTAGTACTGCAACAATCTCACAATACTTGTTTTGTTGTGAGGTGCACTGGAATCAGTGGCTATGTGATTCCTTGCTCCTAAATCAGTGAGACGGTGTGAACACAGCTGCATACTGTTGGGCGCAGCCTCACAAAGCTGCTGGTATGGCTGTAGACTTGGTCTTGTTTAAATGGTTCCCTCCTGCAAGGTATTGTGCCATTGTCACAGGATGGCTTCAGAAATATACACAGTCTTGATTTGAATCCTATTCCGGATTTGATTATGTTTCAAGTATTTGTATTACATGCTGCATCTGTGTTGTTAAATTGATGTGGATATTTAGTTTGCTTGTGTTTTCTCTGTTTACTGACCTTTCATGGACACCATACCTCTGGGATTCTGCACGACCACAGATCTGCTGATAAATGTATGTGGGTGGCAAATCTGCAGGGACCATTATATGGAACATTTCCAGCATTTAGCTGAATCCATGCACCAAATGCATTTTAGCTTCAGCTCCAAGCTGTCAGCGCATACCTGGGTCGGAACTTTGCTCATACCAATTGGCATCAGGCCGTCTTAAACGGTACCAGCTGAAAACCAAGCAAACACAGTGATATAGATGGACATAGATGTCAGCTCAACCTCAAGTCCCCTGTTCTCCTATTTGTCTAACGGTAATCTATTCATGGTCTATTGCACAGCCAACATCTAAATAAACTCATTATGTCTGAGTCATTAAATCTCTCTTCTTTCACCTTTTGTTTTATTGCCTCTTTTCACTGTGCATTGTTTTGAATAGGGGCCCCTCTTTTACACCTTTTCTTCTACTCACCTACTGTCCACCCACTAATGTTCTTCTACAGTATGTGACATCAGCCCAGCTTTTATTTGATTAATCTGTTTCTTTCATTGCTTCTGGATTTTATAATCATTTTGGTATCCTCTGCAGAGTATGCTCACATTTACACATTCTAATCTTTGTAACTTTCCACAGAAAATTTCAAGCCTCTGCTGAACACTCTGGTACCCGGGTTCACCTTAGAAGTGCTACAGGGTTCCTTTGAGCTTTGCTTGGTATGAGTCTGCTGTTACTGAAGCTGTGGGAAGTGACAGACTGGTTCTGTACCTTGTGGCTGCAAAAATATAATGCCAGCTGAGATGACAAAGAATGCATTGTTCTGTCTCTGTGTTAAGATTGCATTGTACCGACAGGTGTTCTACCCTGATGAGACTAACGTAATCTAATGTGGTATGGCGTGGTCGCATGGAGGAAATACTACAGGCCCTTTCAAAAGGCACCATGTGTCTAAGAAATAAGAAAGCAAAGAGGAAGTGAGTTTTCCCTTTTTACTTTTGCATGACTTTTATCATCAACAGATACATTTTCTAACAAGAGATATTCAGACATTTTCAAAAAAGAAAAAGCATGTCATGATGTCATTGTGTACAGTCAAACACATTCATCACCAAAGATGCATTTCTCAGAGCAAGGAGGCCTTGTTCTGAAATCCAGTGCAGACTGGTGGAGCCTGCTGTGGTGACCTGGACTGCTGAAACCACTGAGTGTGAGCATTACAAAGCATCTATTTACAAGTGAAAGCAAGCATAACACTCACTTTTAGACAGTTCACTGATGCTCTTTGTCCAAAAAAGGTACATGATCACACTTTACAAAATTTAATTTAGCTTATTTTTCCATCTGTTGCATCACCATATACACATTTAATGTAAAAGCTGTTTTAAAAACGTTCCTTTAGAACTTCGTTGTGACATTTTGTCATTTTGTGGCACCTTTGGCACATTTAGTGTTTTTTTTTTTTAATTTTTTTATTTCAGTTCACACACCAGCATGTGCTATATATTCACCCATGAAAATACTACTCTCACCTTCATTTGCAAATCACCAAGATATACTGTACATAATATAATTTACACTGTGCATGTTTGATTAACCACTGAAGAAGTTCGTCTGCCTGTTCATGCTGAACAGCTATGGGAGTGGGGAACAACTCATGCCAAAGATCACTGTGATCTACAACTAATACTCCAGGTTGACTGCGCCTTTACTTCTATGAATGTGTGAATGGTGAAAAACATTACTTCCCATCTGTTTTCATTACTTCCCAAGGTTTAACATACTGTGGTTTCAAGTACCATAGCAAATCAGACAACTGACAGAATGACAAATCTGCTGTTTTGTATGACTGGCTCCACACATTGGCATATTGTGCCCACGCAGATGCCATAAACAGAAAAGGCCCCGGACTGTATACAGTATTAAGGTTTAGATGATGATGTAGAAACTCAACACCATGTCAATGGTGCACAAGACTGATGTTGATTTTTATATAATACCAAGAATTGTTGTTTTATGCGCCAAACTGATCATTCTTAAATTTACTGCACTGTGTATGGGACCACTAAAAAAAAATCCAGTGTTGTCTTCTCAGAGCCTCTTCATGTACATCGTTTTTCTTGGATGATTTATTTTCCAGTAATTAGCATGAGGGCCGCAGCTTGAGTAACGTTGACAATTTATCAAAAATGAACAATAATGACACAAATGAAAGACTGAGTCTTGTAAATGTTTGCATTGTGTATCTTGTCTCTTGTATATGCTGTACATGACTACACAGGAACATCTTTTTCACACAGCATGGACTTTCCAAGCTACAGGGCACTGAGCATATCAATAATTCAATAATTAACAAAAGTAACTTTTACATTTTCACATTCAACTACATGAATGCATGACATCTGGCACACAATACACTCATACTCTCTCTCTCTCTCTCTCTCTCAGGCAAACACGCATTGACATAAACATACACAAGCATTGCACATCTGCCCCTCTTTACAGGGGTACAGAGCAGTGCCATAGGTTCTACAGTGCTTTCTTTGTCATCCAGAATATGAATACAATATAAGGCAATCGTAAATGTCTGATATTTATACATGTGTGTGTGTGTGGGCGTGCGTGCACGTGCTGTATGTTGTTGACATCTGGATCAGTATAAATGCACTTCAAGCCAGTGTGTATTTAACAACCCACCATGCTTTTCCAGTGTAGCTGAGCATGTTATATGAGTTGTTGGACAGCACTTGCTTAAATAATCCAACAAGAAAAAAGAACAGTTTGGGGAAAAATCGAAATTCTATTCATGCTTGTAGGAAAAGTGAATAGAGGCTTGTAGTATTTGTGACCCGCGCTTCTCTCATTCTCGGCTTCTAATATCAGTCAGACAAAGGCAAGTGCCGCGCTCTCAAGTACTGAATAGTTTTTCCTTGACAGGATCTAAATAACGGCCTTTTGAGGGCAGTATTTTCAACTTGTCATATATATCTTAAAAAGTTATATCAGAATCGTTGACAGTCGCATGTTTAGAAACTGACTGTAGACTCCGTCCAGCCGTTCGAGCCGTCTCCCTTCGTGGTGCTGGCTGTGCGACCCCGTGTCGCATGGATGTCTGTCAGGCCGAAGAGACGCGCTGCTGCGCCCCGGTATTTCCAGGACATGGTGTTATAGAGGATGGGGTTGATGGCGGCGCTCAGGTAAAAGAGAACCACCGACACCAAGCTGCAGTACTCCGACAACAACGAGAGCAGCGGGGACGGAGCGTCCAGAGACCGGAACTGCAGGTAGCGACCAACGTGGAAGGGCAACCAGCACAGGACAAAAGCCAGCACCACTACCACTGGAGGAAGGGGAGGAGGAAGAGGGGGGAAAGAGGAGCACGCAAAGAGGGGGATGAAGAGGAGGAAAAGGGGAGGGTGGTGCGGAGAGGGGAGAGGGGAAAGGGTTAGAGTAGCAAGTGGGTGCAGGCGTTGTTATGGATGAAGGGTACGGCAAACTAGTTTTACTAAATCTAGATGTAAACTTGTCTTCTGTTCATTATTATGACTATACAGTACATTAAATGCGTATGGTAAAACCCCTTGATTTACTCATTTGTCGATATCCATCCGTTTCTCTTTTGACAAATCAAACCCCATTGTGCGTAATTTGCGCGCTCTCCAAACTTACCCAGCATCTTGATGGTCTGTCTGTTGCTTTTGTCCCTGTGAGCCACACGGGAACTGATGTTTGTTTCTCGGTGTCTCTGCCACAGTCGACGGCCTATGAGGCTGTAGAGCACTGTGAGACAGAACACCGGCATGAAGAAAAAAACAGAACTCAACCACACCATGGCTCCCATCAGACCTGACTCAACAGCGTAGTGCGTCATCCTGCATTCCCGGGTGTCCCCGGCCTCCACGGAAAACCCAGTCTCATTCATTCCCAAACTGAAATTTGGTGGTCCCACGCTGTCCTGCTCCACTCCCACCATGGCAAATACAGGACCAGCACTCAATAGAGACACTGTCCAGAGTAAAAGAATGAGCGCGCGCACCCGCCTTTTGGTAACCAGGGCTTTGGCGCGTAGCGGGAAGCAGATAGCCAGATAGCGCTCCACTGACAGCGCGGTGATGCTCAGGATGGTGGAGTAGGTGCATGACTCTGACACGAACTGAAAGAGCTTGCAGAGCGCGTCACCAAAGCGCCAGGGCCTGTATCTCCACATGCGGTAGAGGTCCAGTGGCATACAGAGGAAAATGAGCAGATCGGATACAGCCATGCTACACAAGTATAGGTTGGTGGTGGTGCGCATATCTCGGTACTTGCTGACCACCAAAATTGTCATGACGTTCCCGGTCACTCCAACCAGAAACAGCAGTGTACAGGCGATAGTGATGACCATGAGGAGAGGGATTGAGTAGTAATTAAGGGGAGGCAGGGCAGGGTCAGCGCTGTCTGTGGCGTTGTGGGTCTCCTCCCAGCTGCAGTTATGGGAGAGGCAATCCGAATGATTGGGCCAAGAGGGCATGCTGTCCGCGCGGTTATTCACGGGGCCGCGCCTGGCCCTCACTGTTAAAGGCTCCCCGGGTCTGGGTATCCTCAAGCCCCTTGGCGTTGCCGTTTCCTGCCATCGTCACTGTCTGAGTTACGGAGGTAATGGCAAAGCGTAGCTGAGGCTGACAGACGTGCGTAAAGCCAAGGTCCTTGCGCTGGTTGCCACCAATCTCTGCTCAGACCAGAGGTAAAACAAGTCTTAATCACAATTCTGAGATCACAATGGATGGCTGAGATTCTCCGGGGCTCAGACAGTACTTCCCACAATATAACACAAAACTGGGCTATTTTAGGTCTATCCACATTGTCTACTTTACGTACAAGGCACATTCTGAAGTGCCCCAACAGTGTTTGTTGCTCAAAGTACTTTTCAAAAGAAAAGTAGGCGTGTTAGTTACATAATTTACATGCTTGCTGTTTGTAAGAGGTGTATTTCAATCAAAACAGATTCAGAATATAACTAAGCACATTCATATATTATCTAAAGATCAAAATAAAAAAATCTATCTTGAAGAAAATTCTCCTCCGCATCGTTTTTGTCTGTGATAGACACCAGGAGTTGAACATGAAACATACGCTCCTTTATGCTCCAAAGAGTCCTCAGGTGTTTCCATCACCAGCGGCGCGTCCCCGCATTTGCGCGTCAGACAAAAACAAAAGTGTGAAACAGGAGATTAGTTACCCAGGTCAGCATGCGATGATGAGTCAGAAGCAGCATCCTAACATTGCGGCAGCAGCAGCGTTGAGCATCTGTCTTGGAAAGGACACCTGAGCGGAAACTCAGCCAAACACAAATGGATAAAAAACAGCCACCGTGAAAACAAACACGGTGTGACTGAACGGAGGCAATTTTATCAAAGTCACAAGAACCACGAAGGAACGACGCATTTTGAACATAGTCATGAAAGCAGGTCTCTGGAGAGTACAAGTCAAATAAAGTAGATCTCTCCAAATCTGTTCTTCTAGTTACGGTGCATATCCAGTGTGTGGATTCATACTCACAGTGCGCAAAACAAGAGAGTGACACTGGGGGGTCTAGAGTGAGTCAGTGCTGCAACGCCACCTACTGATGTCAGGGATTAATGCCCATGTCAGTGCTAATGTGGCAAATGGTTGTGGTTACTCTCCTGCACTCCAGTCCAGCTTTTATGTTCATGTGGTTTCCAGTTTCTTTATACTGCTTGGCTGTGAATCATCTGTGCTGACTATAAAGGTCACTTGTTTAACTACTGTCTTACTTTCAGGGAGCTGTATAGTCCATTACTAAGATGCTTAATCATCAAGATTTTTTCCGGTTATAGGGAACAAGAAAAAAAAAAATCCTTAACTAGCTGGAGCTGTTCAGGTGCTGCAGTTTGATTTTACATGCTCTTGCTTTTCCCCAAAAGCTACACATGTTTTTATGGTTAAGGTAAGATGGTAAAAATCAGATGCTGGTCTTAACTCAGCTTTGACTAAGTGTGTAGTTACAGTACTGTGCTGTTGCTTTGTGGGGCTGCACTGGGCAGGAGCAAAATTAGCTGTGGCTGAAATCCTGCTATATCCATAATGTCAAATTTCACATGATTATATTTATATAATATTATGTTTAAAGAGCGAGGACTCATCAACATAGTAGCTTATTTTCTTAATGCATTTATTGACAGCTTACTGGAGGCCTCACTGGTGTAGCAAATGGCTCATTTAACAATAAGTACAAATCTCCCCACAGGTATAGTTGCAATAGTCCATGTTTCTGGTTTTATTGCATTCGTGTGATCCTCTTGCTTTAAATATTGTTATATCTCTGCCCTTTGCACTCTGTGGTTATGGTACCAACAGATGTCATTATGTTTATGGCCCCTGAAATATGCTGAAAGAGATAAATGAATGGAGAGAGCTAGAGTGATCAGAGTGGAAAGATCACGAACAGGACACTTGTCAGGACAGCCGTGTCTTTCACAGCCCCTGAGACCTTTTCATCACATCTGGTATGTAGCTGTTTGTGGTCATATGATGTGTACAGTATGTGCCCGGACTGTACTGTATGTGTGTATTTGTGTATGCTAGTGTGTATATGGGTGATTGGCCTTTATTGTTTTTTTAGCTTCAGGAAAAACAACCTATGGTTTGTATTGTGTAAACCACATTTCATCAAATCAAAATGTATTTATATAGCACTTTAAAAACAATATCTTGTGGACCAAAATTACTTTACATTATTACAATAAAACTAGGTTGTTATAAAAAATTAAAAGCAAAAAAAGCAAAAAAATCATGGGGGTGTGATCCAAACAACTGAGGTAATAATAGGCAAACAACCAGCTGATACAACAACTATTTACTCAGACAAAATGACAAAATTGGTCTGTTTCTGGGACAACAGGAGGTAATGACAGCATGGATATCTCCACTGAAATGTCATGGCTATCTTTAGTGATGAGTGGTTCTTTTTCCATTGATTGTTTTTGTGTGTGAGGTATATGAAACGGCAGTCTTCCCCATATATGTCAGCAGTACACCTTGTATCCAGTGCTTATAATACATTTACAATACCTCTTTAGTGTTTTAGTCCTATTTTTTCCTGTGGTTCATATGCATATGATTCAGGATTCAGGGGTGTGTACTGTCCTGGCCTGTTTCAGTGTTTTGGGTGTCATTTTGTGTGAGGTGTGGTAGTAGATTACAGGGTTAAGTCATAATGATACACTCATATTTGACAGCTGAGGGTGTGACTGTTTTCTGGCTGTGAAAAACACAGTGCCTCCTTTTATCCACAAGATGGAGGAAGAGATCTCTTTTCATTTCATACTGGGTTGTGGGTATGCATGGCTACCAGACTAATGAATGGTTTTGTGTGGTGTTGGATGACAGAAAATGGGGATAGATGAGAGCTCATGAACACACATTGTACATGTATGCACACATTTACACTAATGTGCAGGTAAACCAAATTAGCTTCTCTTTTTTCATAAACCCGTACTTCTTTTAAAAAAGTACAATGTTTTCACCATCTATACTTTAAGTATTTTAATGTTTTGTGCAATTAAATTCAGACTCAACACACATACATTCAAATGCACAGGCAGTCGGACATGATCAGAAAAACAGAAGTGGATAGACAGACACGCACATTGACACAGACAGATAAATATACAGGCACAAACCGACATGTTGGACAAAACAAGAGCAAAATAGAAAAAGGGATGTAGCAGTTTCGAATGGTGGGATGAAGGGCAGTGTCCATATTCCTCCTCAACATCTCTGGCTTTACAAAAGTCCAGCACTTTTTCGTCCAATGAGAAACGCCTGTGGGAGGAATCCTATTCTGTGATTGGCGTAGAGTTTCAGAGGCCCCGCCCTTCCTGAGGAGTTGGCGAGAGTTCACTGTGAGTTTTTCCTCAGCCACCTTCCAGAGTTCCAGAGCTAACTCCGTCCTGCTGTTGTTCACGTCTTTGTCTGTTCAGACAGAGAGTGTCTGAATGTGTTTTAGTATCATCACCCATTCACCGAAGCTAAGCGGATTTTGTGGAACCACCAACATGTGGACTGCACGTCCACAAACAGAGCAGGTTGGTAACGTCTCCTCTTCTTCTCCGTCTGTCTGTGTCTGCTCTGTGCTATTTGCGTCCATAGTCTTGGGGTGTGATGTGTACAGTACGGTGTCTCCTTGACACTCCTTGGTTCTGGGTTGTCAGTGGGATCATGTCGGGTATGCCATCATACTTCTGTGGGCTTGTATTATGTACCGTAGAAACGAGGAAGAAAGCTGAACACAGGTCTTGTCTTGTTGCACAGCAGATGTGAGTTTAACAAGAAGCTGCATCTTGTTTCTTGCTTCCTGACTATTCAGTGGTGAAATGACACCCTGGTGTGATAGTTAGTTGTTTCAGCTGGAATGTCATGAGAAGGCTGCAGATGTTGCTTCTCCACATCTGTCTCCTTTCCTCTCTTCCTCTGCTGTCTTTCCCACTGGTACACCTGATCTTCACCTCTGGCATTCATATGTGTCACCACATATAGAGAAGGAAAACTAAACTGACTTAATTGGAATAATTTAAATAAAGTTATTCCTGCCTCTGGCTGTGTGTGTTTAACTGTATCCGGCTGTTTTGTCAAGCATATCAATCGTGGATGTGGACAGTAGGACAATGGAAGAGCTGAAGAATTTTAGCTCACAACCACCTACTGTTCTTTTCATGGTTATGTAACAAGAGTTACCTTACTGCAGATTTCTTCTTCTTCTTCTATGGAAAGATCTGAAATATTTTCTGTGCTGGTAGCCTCATTTAGTACTGTACATTTATTCCAGATGTGCTAAGGGTGAGCGCCTGTTTTGATTTTTCTCCCGTAGTCACAGAAGTGGTCATTAAGTGTAGGATGAACAACAGCAAAGTGACTGTGCTGCTTTCAGTGGCTCTCTGTGCATCATAACGCTGTGGTGTCGAATAGAACAGAGGCTGATCAGATACACGATAGAAGTGATTTTATTTACATGAAGAACAATGTCACTGTGACATTTGGCACTTACACCCGGTCAAGGACAAACAGCTGACAACATTTTCTTGCAAACTTGAACTCACTCAGATACCACAAATAATATTTGACCCCTTATCAGTAGCGATGTCTAGCCATGAGGATACTGTAGTACTTGTTTGATTTGTCCAAATTCTAAAATAGGTAAACGTCTTCACGGGGTGGTGCTGTAGCGGTTGAATGTTTAAATTTAATATAGTTTTATTTCTTTCAGTTTGATTTTATCGGGATGCTAGCAGAAATTTAAGGAGCAGGCATCTGAGAAAATCAAACTGAAATGTTCATGGCTAGACAGCGACAGAGGTGGAGATTTGGACGAACTGACCCTTTAAATCAGGAGCATGATTCTCTATAGTTTCTGTAAAGCTACTGTAATAATGGTGAGTCAGAGTCACTCCAGCGGTCTGTACCCAGCTTACAGTTTGGTCATTTCCAGGCTCAGACTTGGCCGGCTTGTGGCTGAAACAGGGAGAGAGCAGTTCCCTCGCTCCTGTAGTACAATGATGCCTTGTGTTATGGCCAGCAGATCGCCACTCTGGTGATGATGACAATTGCTCCCTCTCTTTTTCTGGCATCTACTGTATGTCTTGCTTTCTTGCCTCTCTGACCATCCCTATCCCCCCATCCATGGTGTGAAGGATTAGATAATAGGCAGCTTTAGTGTGGGCAGAGAAAGAGAGGTGTCACAGGCCTCTCTCATTGCTTCTCTCTGCCCTCCTCCCTTCATCTTCTCTCTCTCTCTCTCTCTCTCTGTACCATCTGCGCCATGAGGAGACTGGCACCACACAATCTGTAAATGCCAAGCTATGAATTTATGTTGTTTTTATCATACTGTACACAGTATGTGTGAGTGAGTGTGTCTATTATGCAAAGATCATGTTCATGTGGCATCTTTAAGATGACTTCAAATCATTTGCTGTGCTTGACACGGTGCTTTTTAAATGCCAAGCTTGTTATCACGCTCCAGGAATGGATGATGCGTCTGATATGATACCTGTTTTTCCTAGCGCTTCATGGGTAATTAGTGACAGCTCCTCTGCTGATGTTGACATAGGTGTTCGGTCCGCCTCCGGTATTCTCTTCAATAATTGGACACTTCAAGCACGTATTGCAAGCAAACCTAGAGCAGAGGGACAGAAGTGGGCGTATAGGCAGATGTGACTGGTCGAGGTTATTGCACATGCATTTTAATAAAAGAAGCAGCTGTGACAGAGTTTTGTCGCTGATTAAGAAGTCTGGGTCAGAGCAGTTATGACAGTATTGCTTAAAATAAGCTGTCACTTCACTGGTGTGGTCATTGTTGATCATTCTTGCTAACTAATCATGTGTCCCATCTTTTCATTGCGGGTCAAACTCCATATACAGTATTCTGATATTTTGTGATATTCGTTTTTACCGTGACTCATTCATTTGAAACAATCTGCATTTCACTGTGGTCAGGTGAGGATCACTGAATGCCCAT